ATGATGATGATGATGATGATGATGATGATGATGATGATGATGATGATGATGATTCAATAAAAAGATTCTTCCAGTTAGGACAGCTCCAGTTTTTCGTTCGTTGGTCAAAACCGAGGTCGGACTAACGGTGCTGTAGGGCTTATAGAGTGTTTAAAAATTTGTGGCGCAACTTATCCTCAAATATCTTTATAACGGGTGAAGCAATGTCACCCATATTTTGCACAGCAGTTTGTCTCATTTTGTTTTAACTTAATCATATTTTTCCACAGCAATTGAGGCTAGACTAAAAAACTTTTCTTCATAAATTTATATAGAATAATATACTATTGTCTCCTTCTCGCGGAAAATAGAATTGTTCACAGTACTTCCCGCTTCTCACACACATTTATTTTGTATGCATATTGGGTTACGTCACAGCTCACCAATGATACTTTTTAGTGGCAAAACTAGTTACAAGAAATTAATCTTATAGCGAACACTTGTTTGCACTAAAAGTTCTCAAAACATGCGTTCAATAAAGATGATCTCGCGATTAGAAAAAATGACGGACTTGCTTTTAAAAGCGATATCGTCCCAGCTGTAAATCTTTTAAAGGCAGTACAAACCACCAACTGGGATTTTATTAGTAGTATTTATTAAGGAATTTTCTAGGATAGAACCGACACATCTTTACAAAAATATTGATCTGTTAAGACAAATTGAAACAAGACACTTTTCAAAAGCTGGAGAGTTTATGTTCGATAGTTGAGGAGATATTGGACAATAAGTGGCGCCGTGAATTTTTGACCGCACTATAGGTCTATATCATAATTTTGTTTTGAAGGGCAAAATCGTACCTGGCCTCCCTTTCTGGCTTATGGAGTTTTTGGCGAATTCCAGGCCGATGTGAGTCTGAGTCGAGCCCCCATTTGACTGGTGAATGGTGTCGAAAGCGTGGTTCACCTACGTTGGGGAAGAAGAGAGAGGGGGGGGGGGGTGTTTGGTGTTTGGAAGATCCAAAGTTTGTCTCATTATCTGTGTCTTGGTGCTGCTATTGTTCCTTCCAGTGTCACTGTTGTTGTTGTTGTTGTTGTTTTTGTTGTTGTTCTTATTGTTGTTGTAGTTGCTCTTGTTGTTGTTGTTGTTGTTTTTGTTGTTGTTTTTTTGTTGTCGTTGTCATCTGTAGTTGTGGTGGTGGTGTTGGTTTTGTTATTGTTGTTGCTGTTGTTGTTGCTTTTGTGTTGTTGTTGGTGTTGGTGCTATTGCTGTTGCTGCCATTATTAACATAA